GTCAGGGAAACGATCTTTTTCGAACCTAAAAAGAATAAAAATGTACTTAAAGTCTAATTTTGAGTCAAGGAAACCCTGATGCATTGTCACTATTATATACTGATGAATATAACGCACTGGAAAAACTTAATAGTGATACTATCATATCATACGTCAGTTTGCCAATATTAATTCACGAAAAAGAATATTACAATTTTTGTTATGTTATATATTAGAATGTTATTTTTTTTTTATCTTTTTATGTTATATTTTAGAATGTTGTTTTTATTTTTAATGTTTTTTATAAGAATACTGCTTTGTTTTTCATTTTTATATACATTTTTACAATAAAATTTAAACATTAAAATTTTGTTTCATTTCTTAGCGGGTCCAAGAGCCCCTCCTTGGTTCTGCCAGTGCCAAGGGGGCCCATAGATGTTCAGCGCCCAGGACCCGAAATGAGCTTAAACCGGAACTGATCATACCCTTAGAAATATACATATAATACTTCAAATAATATCGAACGTATATAAAGTACATACTTAAAATATATTTAAAATATAACAACATAGGTACGTAATGTAAAGACATTTAAAGAACAGTATTGTATATTTTATTAACATGAAATTAATGAAATTTACTCGTCAGTAGCATTAACTTGTTTTTCCGGTGCCATCTACTTCGGAATTAACAGTTAGTGACTAGTGTGTGCTTGCATTTTTTTACACACACTGTCCAAGTCTAGCTCTCCTGATGTATCCGCAATTGCATTTCGTATTTCGCATTTAAATTGTATCATACAATTAGGACTCGCCTTTATATACTCGCGGTCATACACTGCGAACGTGAATCTTATTTTGCATATACATCGAGCGAACAATCGAAAAAAAGGAGCTACTATCACACGTAACATCATTGCTGACGTCGGCAGCTCACATACGAAGCTTCTAATTAATTTTCAAAGACAAACCAAATGTATCTTTACATTTTTTAGTTAATAAACACTAGTCAACTAGTGCTAGTGCTTTGTAGTTTCCTTTTCGAATTTTCATTTTAATTAGAGGAACCCCAAATGCCGCTGAACCCAGTTAAAAAAAAAAACAAAAAAAAAAAAAAAAAAACACTGGTATAAGCAGTTAATAAATTGATCTCATTGTGTTAGGTCCAACAATCAATTTTAATGTTAGAAAACAGCATATGTAATAAATTCCGTGAAAGCACAGCATTTTTCAGAATCAATTAAGGTTGTTAATTCTTTTAATTCATCTGGATGGCTTATAATAGCACTACTTCTTGATGTGTTCCGAAATTGAAAGTTAACGATCATAATTTTTTTTTAATGAATTTTGAAATTTTCGCAGCTAATTTGGCAGCTTTTTCTAGTTAATTCACCTAAGGCAAGTGCCTCATCTTACCATTGTCCCGATTTTGCTAAGTTCTGAGTTGCATCGTAATTAATAGAGAAATTAAAAAATCAGAAGACGGTTTTTAGGAGTATTTTCATTGTGGAACAGTTTTCATGAAATGGGAAAGATTTGAATATGCTTGCCATATCCATACACTTCAACTCCCTTCTCTCTGAAAAAGTGCGTAGTCGTGATAGCAGGGTGGAAAGGGTAGGAATAAAAGGTTGATAAAACTAATTCGGCGAATCATCATCTCTATTTCTAGTCATATAAAATAATTTCTTTTAGACGATATACTTTTTGTTCATAAGCAATTACAATAATTTTTATATCCACAGATTAAAAAAAATATATATGACGTCATTTTAGGCAAGTAAGCACAGCAGCGGAAACATGTTGGCAGAACAGAAATTAAGAAAAGGAATGATGTAGCTACTTACGAGCAGTATTTATACAACTTGCGAGCAATACTTATACTAAGTAGGTGCATAAGTATAGTTAAGCTGTGATTGGTTAATTTTAGGCAGTTCAGTAACGTGGAAAAATCTCGAATTTGGAAGAACAGATGAACTTAAGGGACGGGGGAACAATTTTAAAGAAAGCGTGTTTTTTGCAGTGACGAATACATGAAGGCCTTGGGCAGTAGTTATTTTATCTGAGTTCAGTCCGTAGACAGTGAATCAGCTTTTCTCAAAGATGTTACTGTGCTTTTTGTCTGCGCAAAACGAACTAGAAGCTGATTCCCGAAAAACTTTCTTCACAAAGGTATCATTTCCCTGCTGGCGAGTTTTGCAACTATTTTACCTCTGCATGAACCTCAACAAGAAAACTAATTTTAAAGGACAAAAGAGAGGCGTCCGTATTAATGCTAAACATCGTTTCTTCCTTTAAATGTCATATTAAATTTGAGTATTGAAATTATTTTTTTCATTTCATATACCAAAAAATGTTTTAGGACGAAACACATTAAAATAAAATTTCATTGATAAAGAAAATTTTCAAAAAACGAAAATCTGAAAGATTTGAGATTTAAAATTACGTTCAAAGAAGCGTCTTTTTTAACATTTTGTGTGTTACTTTTATTAATTAAATATCATGTTCTTCGCACTTAAAGCATAAAATTCAGGTCAAGAGCAATATTGCGAAATAATTTTAAATTGAGCATATCTTTAGAATTTCCGATACAGTCTCGCGCTGGAGATATTTCCCCCCCCCCGTACAGTTGCCATGCTCTTCTTGAACTCCTGCAGTTGTTAATCAAAAATCGTTAAAGTTACAAAATATGAAATCGATAGTAAAACAAATTCCAATTTGGCTTTCAGATGCTCATATTCGGAGGAGGTTACGTTTCAAAATTTGATGGCTTAAGTACATGTTTTATCATAATGCGAGAAACATCATACCTTATGCAATTTTCATTATTACTTTCTTAAAATATAATACAGGGCGATAATATTTGGTGGCAACAGTTTGAAAAGTGAAACGGACATTCAGAGCGATTCGACGCAAAATTGGAAAACGAAAACAGTAGTCCTCAGTAAAATTAATTACACTACTTATAGCTGTATACTTCCCCCTACATACAGCTTAACTTTACCCTACATACAGCTTAACTTTCCTCTACATACAGCTTAACTTCCCCATACATATAGTTTAACTACGCTACAAATCAAAATAGATTATTATCCATAGTTTTACTCAGATTTCGCTAAGATCTCTACACTGTCCCAAATTTTTATTAAGAATTAATTATCTTTCATTTCTGGTTTTTCTGTTTAGTTTTGTTTGCACGAAGTAAAGGAATTATCCTAATCGTAAAAAATTTCAAGTATCATATGGAAATACTCATTTTGACAATTCCCGAAACCTTTTTAACTATTTTTTAAGTGACGTATCTACGTATGGTCAGAATAAAGGACTATTTTTTGCAAAGTGGATTGTACAATAGACTTTTTTGTTACGTCTGTACCTCGCATAACTCGAAAAAGATTGATTATCCGTAGAACTTTGAAATTTTGTATATAAAACTGCTATAGAATCTAGGTTTGTACCTTTCTTATTTACTACAATCGGCAGTAATAAAAGTTCTCCCCTCCTTTATCCGGCCTTTGCTTTTGAAATTGTTGGTAAATATACTTTCAATCGCAGAACCGTTTTAAATGACGAAAATATAGACGCCTTTGTAATGTCAAGTTTAAAATAAAATTTGGACAAATAACGAAATATAACTTTTAAAATGGTCTCTCGGTTCCTATCCTTATACATGGGAAAGTTGTGAAAAAATTAAAATACATGAAGTTTCACTCCCGTACGACACAAATTGATCTGGATAATTGATTTCCAAATTTGTAGTTTTTGATGTCACTTTCAACTTGCCTTGAGGAATCGGTTAACTAAGTTAGAATTCGAGGAACTATGTTTAAATTAAGTGAAGCAGAAAAAAAGTCTGTAATTTAACAAGCGTACATGCACGTGGTGTCCGCATGAGACTTTTTAATGTTTCCAATATGATAACTTCACGTTGGAATACTGTTTTTTTTTTTTTTTTTTTTTTTTTTTTTAAATTATATGAAACTTTTTTGAACATCCATCAGAGCAGGGGCATGCTGATTGGTAAGCTTCGAGTAAGTGTAATACAGCCTAGAGGCGAAAAGCAGATCTATCGTTAACACTTACAATTTTTTTTTTACCTTTAATAACGCTTTCAATCCAAAAATTAGTATGCATTTAAGTTTCCGTATTAATTACACTCTTAACTGTATTTTAAAAATCACTTTCCCCTTCCCAGCTTCGGCATTTCATTTTCTCACATGCCGCCATCTAGTCGTACAACATACATTAGACGAATTATACCTTTTTTTATTTAAAAAACTTCCACGGAAAATAATTTTTTTATTCCCAGACTGTACAACTTTGTGCACTTCAGGAAAAATGATTTTAGGCGTTGTAAATAAGATCTCTGTTTCATTACTAAACCGTCATCAGAATGATATTACAGAAGTTGAAAAACATAGCCATCCGATAAACGATTATCGGATGACTATGTTCATTATATGTCCCAACGACAATAAATGCATTCGATCAGAGTTTCTTAAACAAAAAAACCAAAACAAAACCCACACCAAAAAGTTTAAGAAACCCTGATAACATTTTTAAAAAATATATACCATAAAAAAACAGAAAAAAGTTAAGAAATCGAAGAGGAAACTTCTTTCCAGAACTTCAATTAATTTATAAAATAATTATTTATTTTTGAATAAGTATAATATGTTATAAAATACTTAATTTCTTCATCAAATTTGCGTTTTGAAAATATAAAACTACTAGGAATACCCGAAAAATACTTTTTAAAAATAGAAATTCTGTTCTTAGACTGATGTCACACTGCCTGCAAAGTATTGCAGCAGATATGTATCCTCTTACAATCCTCTACTAAAAATAATGGTGTTCATTCCTTGTGTATGATGCATTTGTGTCTCCCAAATCTGAGGGCTTTTCATTCGTACGCTCAGAATTTAGAACTGGTGCGAAAGGATTTAACAACTGACGCTTGATATTTTCTGAAGTATTTACAGATAAGTACTATATAAAGACCAAAAAAAAAAGTATACTTACCGTTTCGGGTTCTCTCTTTTTACCACTGGAAATGTCGGATGATTTGGTGATTTCCGCTCGGAACTCTGCTGTAGATTTAAAGGACTCATCTTCGGCCAATACTTCCGTTAAATATGCTATGTAACTAGTGGCTAATCTCAAGATCTTCTTTTTGGACAATTTAGTGTCGGGAGGAACATACGGGATGCAACCCCTCAATTCAGAGAAAGCATTGTTAAGAGACAATGTTCGTCTGCGTTCTTTCCTATTAGCCGTTACTCTTCTTCTGACATAACGGACTGGCTCGACCCGCTCCGGTCTCCTAGTCGTCCGAGTGTCGGGAGATTTTACAAGGGGGGTTTTGATATCCGAACCGTCCGTAGGGAAAGCTGGCCACACGTAATAAGTCTCCCCTCCTGGCCCGCACACGGTTTCCGAAAGTTCGCGACCAGGCCTTGAAGAGCTCCGCAAGATACTCATGGCCAATCGTGAATCGAGTTCTTATTCTGGGACAAGATCCAGAGCACTCGGACAAGGGAGGAAAAGCAGACACGTGGCTGCGATGGTGGAACGGGGGTGTGTGAGCCAATCCAACAGCGTCGTAGCTGCTCGATAAAGAAAAACTCTCATCCCGAGGTGGATGTGGAAGAACAACACGCCGGTCTGTATTCTCCGTTACATCACTCTGGCGTAGGGCTACAATACCTCCGATCACTCGGAATGGTACAGGCAGTTCGTTAAAAGAAAGCGTATGAGAAAGTTGATCATTGTTGCGAAATGTTTCAGTAATTTAACTGCTTAAAAAATTAAAAGACAGCATTCATAAAGAAGTAGAAATTGAGAAAACAAATTTGTTTCACGTCTGTTAAAATTGAATTAGTTAGTTTTCGCAGCCTTTTCCCGAGGATCGGATGACCCGATGCCAAATGAACTGATAACGAGTAAGGCACGCTTGCTCGTTATAGTTTATAAACAAAAAACGCTTATTTGTACTTATCTGTCACTCATCAAATATAGATAAAATAAATGTAAACTGAATCCACTAATCAGATAACTGAACGTGAAAGCAATTTTCTCTTTTTGTTTCATTTCGAAGATTCTTTTTAAAGTATAATTTTTTTCTTTTCCCATATTACAGCCACATCGAACTCGCTTTCTTATTTGAAATATCAGAAGAAAAGCTCTGATAACGATTTATGAAGCAAAATCCTCTCAAATGAATCTGCACGTGAAGTTGGCGAAACTGTTGATTTTGTATTCTTATGAATTTTGCAGAAAGAATATCAGGTTTCCATGTAGGTGAGCGACGGATGACAGCTAAGTGTTCAGTCTGACCTGCAAAAATTTCGATAGAGTTATTGTATCTACTTTTAATCGGCAAGATAATGTGTTAACTCCGTCGAAATAAACATTTCAATAAATTAAATGAATTAATATATTCCTTTAAGTCGCGCATTTCAAGGTCGATCAATAAATAGTTATTTAACACAAAATCTATAAAATATATCCAATATTAATATCGAAATAAAGAAGTTTGGAATTAAAAATAAGAAGGATACTGAATTTTTTGTAAATTTAAGTTTGGTTTTATGAGATTACGGCAAATCCTCGAGGGCTATCTGCCTAAGGGGAGTAATGCCTTCGTGGAGGAATCTTTTAGATAAACTGGCTCATATACACGTTACACATGGGGAAAAACCACGAAAGCACCCGTGCAGCAAGCCCGTTCGCGGGATTCGAACCGAAATACTAGTCTTCATCGATTTTACCGCTCGGCCGCTGATGGGCTTTGTAAAGTTACATAACGAATTAATATGAGCTTGGGTTCTATGATTTTAGGGGCATGATAGAAATCCTAATTCGTGTTGGAACATCATAGTGTAGGAGAAACAAATGACTAAATGAAAGAGAGTTCCTTTAGCAGCAAACGCAAACTTAGTTAAGGTCTATACTACGAGACCTACCAGCGGCAAGCGGTAAAGTCGATGAACACTGATAGTTTCGACCTGGATTAGATTCCAGGCAAAAAAGCTGGCTGCATGGGCGTTTTCGTATATTTTTGCCCATGTGTAACGTATACACGGGTCAGTTTCTCTTAGAAAGTCTTCCACGAAGGTATCTCTTCCCTTAGACAAGACAGCTCTTGCGTACTTTGCCATAAGTAAATAAACCAAATACGAATCTGGGGTTGAATAAGCTAAGTTGCAGAATTCATCGAAATGTTAAATTTCTTTCGCAAGTATATTAGAAAGATTCATTTGCAAGCGTAAAATTTACGCACATTTTACATCTTACGAATATATTAAAATCTCAGCATAAAAATCTTTTTTTTTTTTTTTTTAATTTCTGTTTGCGATACAGAATTATACGACTAACTAAAATTCTATTCGAGTGCATGCGTGTTTTTCGTTGAAAAAATTTCGTTATTTCTTTGTTCCATACTTAAAAAGCAAAGTTTAATAACAATTAGACTTATTTCCAGAAACATTCTTTGAATCGCTCGAGGTTCTTCAATTCGGTAGGGTCCACATTTTGTTCTGCAACCTTGAAAAAATACACTAGATGAAAAAATCTATGTGTATAAATATATACTAATTCTAAAAAGGATAAAACAGAAATTCACATCTGTTGATTTCAAGACGTTAGTAAAATAGGTAAATAAAAGAAAATATAATTTATGATTTTACATAACTATTACAGTGATATTGTATAAAAAGGTAATAAATACCTCATATCCATAGCTATACTACGACACCATATTCAAAGAATCGAAATGAAACCCAAAGGAACAGAGCAGGAGCGTTCACGACTCCGAAGGACGCAGATCTAAGACTAGCACCGTAGCGAAGGAGTGCTGACAGCTGGGAATCTGAGGAACTAGTTCCTATAATCAAAGTACTTTAAACAGATCCTTGCACTGCTGAGCTGATAAAGAACTACCGTTCCGTTTCCGCCGGAGCGCTGATCATTCGTTCAGTAACGTGAATCGGTTCCGGAGCGGATCGTCTACCTCTAGCTTGGAGAATATACATCAAGAATTATGTGAACTATCCAACCACATTTATTCAGCTAAAATTTTCATTTTTAAAACGCTCTTTGGCTTCCTCGTGCTATTTTATTAGTGTTGGCTGTTATACGAAGCGCGATATTTCTAACTCTCTGTCTTATTTATGGAGTTACTCCTTACAGCTGCATCTGCGGTAAGACGCCTAAGATGCATTTCATGATATATATATTTTCTTCTTTCATTTATTTGCACAAAAAATATAATTTAAATGAATATAACTACTCGTATATAAAAAACATGCCGGGAAAGAACAGGGGCGTAGCTAGAGTTTCCAGCGCCGTAGACAACTGAAGAATTTGCACCCCTTTCTGTGTGCCAAAAATGGAAAATATTTCATTAAAAAATTTCGTAGCACCCATTTGGGCGCCCCTTGGATGCTGCGCCCGGGGACAGATGTCCCCCCTTGCCTCACCCTAGCTACGCCACTGAGAAAGAAAAACATTAAAAGGAAATACAAAAATTCAGACATTTCTTCCCTGGAAAGTCCTCAAGAATTTATTTATGGATAATAAACTTCCCGTTTCACATTTGTTCGGGCAATATTTAATTCTCGTAAAGTTATTTGAGTTTAGCGGCCTATAAATGCTCCATGCAGATGAATGACATCGAAATTAGCCATTGAAAGAATAAGATTTCGCAGAAATACAGTCCAATTTCTATAGACAATTTAAAATACTCTTTTTAGGCCAAAGGGGCGTACGGCATTTTGCGTTGAATCACTAAAAGCGTTGTATCACTTTTCAAATTGTTGCCACCAAATATTATATCCTGTATTATATTTAAAGAAAGAAATTAAATAATAAAGATTCTACGTGAATATATGTATGTTTCTCTCACTGTGGAAAAAAAAAAAAAAAAAACAACGATACCTAGAGCCATCAAATTTTGAATACGCAGTCCTCCACACGAATATGTGCACCTGGGGAAAATAATCTTGAATTTCGAAATTGTTTTATTATCTATTTTATATTTTTAAAACTTGAACGAATTTTTAATTAAAAAACTCAACGATTTCAAAGCGAGCAGTGGCAACACATCCTGAGGAATAAAATATTTTATCTCCACCGCGCGAGACTGTCTGAACGCCGCCTGAGATAACCACTGACCTAACTTTGTTGCAAAAGTCTTACAGTGTTGTTAATAGTCATCCTGGCAGAAGGGATTATTTCTTCCGTACAAAAATATAAATATTACAAGGGCATACAAGGCCTGTGTATAAGCGTAGAATATGTTAAATACAGACATTGTCTTGTTCAAGTTACATGAGATAGTTAGATATAATCATGACAGTTATGTGCGCATTTAAACATTATCTGAATTCATATTTATAATATATTTACTGAGATAATAAAAGTAAACTTATAATTGTCACACATTGACTGCATTTTCTATGTCATTTTTAACTGCTTTACAACAGTATTTTTAACAAGCACATAAAACAAGCACAATCATTCGATGCATTCTCTTGAATGATCTTGATCTAGTTTACAGCTTATATATTATATCTTGCAGTCGACTGACAGAGTTCGCCGCAAGTAAAAAGACCTGCACAACTTCACAAAACCCAGTGTACAGGCTTGTGTAGTCTTCAGAATTTCCTCAAGGTTGTAAACTATATTTGTCATAGTTCTGGAAGATGAGCTACCGCTATTTGAGGCAACATAGAGAAGCAGCGTTTTAGCTACGTGTTTATGAGTGATAATAAAATAGCTACCGGAAATGTTTTCTGTTCCAAAAGAAAGCTGCATAATTTTTTTAACCACTAGCACGCGATATAGTAATAATTCTTCGACTGTCTAACCCCAGTTTCTGCTGTTAGTTTATATATTATGTAGTTAAAAACAAGCCTTTGGGAAAACGTAGTAGTGGTTTGTGTTGCCTAAGGAGCCATAGAATTTATTGTAAACGCTAAATTTTTGAAGAAACATGCTGTAAGGTATTTTCTCCCTCCTTTCCGCATACCTTCTTGATGTAATTGGAAGCACGCTCGATGCGTATTCGGGAGGTCTTGAGTTCGAATCCTGGTGACAGCATTGCGGACTTCTTCAGTTTCCTGGCTTCGAAAAAATTCTAAAAGTACCCTACTCGATGCCCTTGAATTAGCAATTGGTGGATGATAATTCGTCACCACCAGGATTTAACGACTGGATTCGTTAATCTCCATTCGCCCTTTAAAAGGGGGAGTATATAACATATTTTCTCAATCCTTTCCGCATGCCTTCTTGGTAAAATTGGAAGCACACTCGACGCATATTCTGACATAGCACATTTTTCACATTTCCTGTTTTAAAATATAGCAATAATCAAAAAACAAACATAATATCTGAAAGCTTTCACATTTTATATTACGTTCAAAGCGACGTCTTTTTCACGGGGGATTCAAAACGGGATTTGGAAAGTGATACAGACATTCGAAGTCATTCTACATAAAATACAGTTAGACACTGTAACGTCTTTACGTCGCTAGGCTACTAACATAATACCAGTAAGAAATGTAAAGAAACCTCACGCATAAAACAACCGTGCTTGAACGCACACGATGTTAATGTTAATGGAATGCTTTGAAATAGGTCAGTTTGTTAATCAAAAATTCCTTAAAGTATTACAAAATATAAAATAGATAATAAAACAAATTCCAAATTTGGGCTTTGAGATGCCCATATTCGAAAGGAGGACAGCGTTATTCAAACTTTGATGTCTTTAGGTACGTGTTTTCTCCCAATGCGTACATACATACATTCATGCAAATTCTTCAATATTTAATTTCTTTAAATATAATGCAGGGTTCTAATATTTGGCGGCAACAATTTTGAAAAGCGAAACGCCG